GCACGCACATCACTGTGGTGAGATATACACACGTATGCATGCACGCACATCACTGTGGTGAGATATACACGCGTATACATGTACGCACGCACACGCACGCACGCACGCACGCACGCACATCACTGTGGTGAGATATACACGCGTATACATGTACGCACGCACGCGCACGCACACACGTATGCATGCACGCACATCACTGTGGTGAGATATACACGCGTATACATGTACGCACGCACGTATGCATGCACGCACATCACTGTGGTGAGATATACACGCGTATACATGTACGCACGCACGCGCACGCACACACACGCACGTATGCATGCACGCACATCACTGTGGTGAGATATACATGCGTATACATGTACGCACGCGCACGCACGCACACACACACACACACGTATGCATGCACGCACATCACTGTGGTGAGATATACATGCGTATACATGTACGCACGCGCACGCACGCACACACGTATGCATGCACGCACTCACGCGTACGCATGCACGCACATCACTGTGGTGAGATATACACGCGTATGCATGTACGCACTCACGCGTACGCATGCACGCACATCACTGTGGTGAGATATACACGCGTATACATGTACGCACGCACGCGCACGCACGCACACACATCACTGTGGTGAGATATACACGCGTATACATGTACGCACGCACGCGCACACACGCACGTATGCATGCACGCACATCACTGGGGTGAGATGCACGCACGCACGCNTCTCTCCCTTCTCTCTCCTCTCTCTCTCCTCCCCAATCTTCTCCTCATCTCTCTCTCTTTCTTTTCCCTGTCCTTTCTCGTCGTCTCTCCCTCCTCCCTCCTTCCCCCCATCTCTCTACTAATCGTCTGCTCTCTCATCTAATCTCCCTCTCGCCATCTTATCTCTCTCGCTCTCGCTCTCTCTCTCTCGTCTCCTCTCCCTTCCTCAACTCCCTCTCTCGGCTCTCCAATCCCCTCCTCTCATCTCTCTCTCTCTCTCCTCATCTCTACTCTCTCTCCTCTCTCGTTCTCTCTCTCTCTCTTCTCTCTCCCTCTTGCTCTCCCAGCTCCCGCTCAAGTCGGCTCTCGCTCCCATCAGACTAGTCTAACTCGTCGCTCGTCGCTCTCGTCTCTCTCTCTCTCTCTTCTCTCTACTCTCTCTCTCTCCCTCTCCTCTCTCTCTCTCCTCTCCCTCATCTCTCCTCTCCTCCTCTCTCTCTCCCTCTCCTCCCTCTCTCTCCCTGGATCCTCGAGATAAAGCAGAGGAGGAAGCAGGAATTGTCTGACGTTTACAATGAGATGTCCACCACACATAGACGAATCCTTGCAGGAGGTGCTTGCAGTGTTAGTGTGAGGTTGTCGATGTTTCAGGCATGCCGGACATGGGGCGTGAGATCGGCCGGGGTCAGTACGGCGTCGTATACGCCTGTCACAAGTGGGGAGCGTACGATCGTTGCGCTCTCAAGTCGGTGGTGCCACCTGACGAGAAACATTGGAATGACTTGGCCTTAGAATTCTTCTACTGCAGGTAAAGACAAAGTTTGTTTATATTCTCTCTCTAGAAATATTGAAAAATATTGAATTTTATATTGAAATTTATAAAAAATATTGAATAAAAAATAGTCTTGCACGTAACATAGTTCATCAACGGCGGTCAATAGATGGCGCCACGTCACGCACATCATGTCTGCTGCCGCAGGAACCTTCCGGAGCACGAGCGGGTCGTGTCGATCCGCGGATCTGTGATCGATCACTCGTACGGCAACGGAACAACTCCTGCTGTGCTGCTTATCATGGAACGCATGCAACGCGATCTGTACTCAGCGATCAAGATGGGCCTCGATTGGATCAGCCGCCTACAGGTGGCGTTGGATGTCATCGAGGGAATCCGCTTCCTTCACAGCCAGGGTCTCGTTCACAGAGACATCAAACTCAAGAACGTGCTGGTGAGAGAACGTGATCTTATGCTGGTCATATCACTACTAAAGCACGCACATCACTGGGGTGAGATGCACGCATGCACACGTACACACACGTCATCGTGGTGCGATTTACACACATGTACATTGTTAGCATTGTTAGCATATAGCATTAGCATCGTTCTTGCCTGCGGTTGCCGCGGTGACGACGATGCGGTTGCCGCGGTGACGACGATGCGGTTGCCATGGTAACGACAATGCGGTTGCCGTGCTGCAGGCTCTTCGAACAGCTGTGTGACGTTGGCTACCTCACCCGGCTACCGACGGAGGCGAAGCGAGTGTGGCGGCACAGTGGCGCCGCCCTGGAGGCGGAGAGCGAGTTTGTCGAGAGCTTCCACGCGTTTCGACAGCAAGTGATATTCTATGTGCATCATGTGCTGCAGCAGTATCTAACACAGGTGTGTGTGAGAGATTGCGGAAACAAATAATAATAAATAAATAACGACGTAAAAATCAACAAATCAACTAAACTATTAAAAACAATTAGTTAAAAATCAACAATTCAACTAAAAAAATTAAATTACAAATAAAAAAATGAAAATTAAAAACCGACGACGTCGGCGCGCCGCTTGTTTTCCGCAGGCGGCGACCATCTTGAAGAACGCGCACACGCGCTGCCTGAAGATGTTCATCCTGACGGCGTTCGACATGGCGCGCGACATGATCATCACGCCGAAACGCATCGACTACGCTCGGCAGCGCGAAGGCGCCCTCTATGATTCGCTGCTCGCACTCGCGACGCTCAAGCAGGAGGAGATACGCATCGTCGTCACGGATACCATCAACAACCTGCAGGAGCCGCTGCTGACCGAGGCCGTCGCTCACACGTTCCGCAGTACGTCACGGGTTCACGTCAGGTCACAGGGGTCACGTCAGGTCACAGGGTCGGGTCACGGGGTCACGTCAGGTCACAGGGTCGGGTCGATCGTGGGGTTGGGTCACAGGGTTGTGGGGTCAAGCAAGGCCACGGAAATATTGGTCACAGGGTCAGATTGCAAAGTTTATTTATTTCAGGGTTAACGTTGCAAAGTCTGCTCACTCTCACAACATAGCTTTCTGTCCTAGAGGAGTATCATATTCATGTTTCCATGGTAACATAGCTTTCTGTCCTAGAGGAGTATCATATTCATGTTTCCATGGTTATCTGCAGGCATTGATGTGGGTATTCATGTTGTTTCCATGGTAACCTTCAAGTGTGGAGGTGCAACTATGTTGGTATTTATTTTGTTTCCATGGTTACCTGCAGGTGTGGAGGTGCAACTATGTAGGTATTCATGTTGTTTCCATGGTTACCTGCAGGTGTGGTGGTGCCACTATTCATGTTTGTTGTTTCCATGGTTACCTGCAGGTGTGGTGGTACCTGAGTCAGGTGAGATCAGTTCTAGCCGTGACGTACAGGCGTGCACGCACGAGATTCAGCATCTTGTGCTGTCGCGACTCAACCGCGAGATCGCTGGACAGATCACAGGATCCGTCGAGTATCTACGCGAGAATTATACGGGTGAGTGACGACGTTCTACCTTATCTTACTATCTTACATGTTTGTCTGTGTGTACCACCTAGCTTACACATCCTAGCCTCTTACACTTCCGTGACAAATCCATGTCCTCGCACACTTGACGATCTACGTGTTCATAGACTGTCGTCTACACCGTTGGTTTCTCGATGCGTGACGTGTAACGTGAGACGTTGTCTGCGGACTAGGTACGCTGCGACGGTGTCTGGAGAGTTTGGAGGAGAGAGGCGACAAGGAGAATTACGATTGTCCGTCGGCGGAGCCGCGCGCTCCAGCAGGTAGGATCACTCAGGCACACTCAGCATGCAACAACAACGCGTTTCGCCACATCGATGGTTCGTAGCATGCTGTTATACCTGTATACATGTGATGGTGGTGATGGTGGTGGTGTGGTGGTGATGATGATGGTGGTGACGGTGACGATGACGATGATGGTGATGGTGGTGGTATGGTATGTAACATATATACATTCTATACGTCTTCTTGATTATTAATACTCTAAATTATAACATACAAACTACGTCCCTACAGTGGTGGTGGTGGTGGTGGTGATGGTTGGGTGATGGTGGTGGTGATGGTGGTGATGGTGGTGTGATGATGATGGTGATGGTGGTGATGAGCTGCTGCTGCTACTGCTTGCTACTGGCTGCGCGCTGCTGCTGCTGCTATTACTACCGCCGCTGCTGCTGCTGCTGCTGATGATGATGATGATGGATAATTAGCATTGGATTAATACTATACGAGGCTGTAACCTGAGATCTTGCTGTGATTGTGTGTAGATTCCTGATGCAGCTTACCAGGTGGAGGTCACGTGTGAAGAACAGTAACTCAGTCGTGCAGATCATTCTAGAGAAGATACGACAGGTACACATTATGATACTGCGCCTCTTCCTCCTCCCCTGATCTTCTTCCTCCTACCTTCCTTCCTGCTCCTCCTCTCCTCCTCCCTCCTCCTCCTCCTACCCTGTCTCTTCTCCTCGCTCCTCTCTTCCTCTTCTTCCTCCTCTCCCTTCTCCACATCCTCTCCTCCTCCCTCCTCCTCCTCTCCTCCTCTCCTCTTTCGCTCTTCGCCTCTCTTCCTACTTCTCCCCGCTCTCCTCCTCGTCCTCCTCTATTACTCCTCCTCTCTCTCTTTCTCGCCTTGTCGCTCTCTCTCTGCTCTCGCCATCTCTCTCTCTCGTCTCTCGAGGATTACCAATTTTCATCTTAAAGGCAGAAACAAAATATAGTGTGTGTTTGGGTTTCGTGACGCCGCTATTTTTATTCCCATGGACCGCTAAAACATTTTATTGACAATTTTCTCGTTTAGCCAAAATAAAAATAAAATTATTGCATTGGACAGTTTTCCTGCTTCAAAAGGACAACGCACATCCTTCGGACAATGGTTCGATAAATAAAATATGTTCAAGAAAATAAAATGTTTTTCTTTACCTACCTACCCTATTTTTTTTCGGCGATGTAACGGTAACCGAACATATTTTGTTGTTTTCGCGCTAATGTTAATTAGTTTGATTACGTTCGAGTAATCGTCAGCTTGAATCAGCCGAACCGGCTGTTATGGGGTGCGTTAACGCGTCACGCGCGCCGCCCACTCGCTCACAGTGCTGGCATCTATCTCCGCGGTTAGATCGTACCGTCGCTGCCGTTGGACGCGCCACCTAGGATTGACGCGGGAGTGGAAAGCGCTGGGTTGCCAGGAGATCATCAGCAAGCTGAGGCGAGTCGGGGTCTCCGGCGCAGCAGATGTGCGCAGCAGTTAAGGAAGCCTGAAGGGTTCGCAC